CAAAAAATAAGACTTTTAATGCAATTCTTGTTAAATTTTGAAGCATTTCTGTTGAAGTCTAACAATTTTACCACGGAGTACCTACCGAATAAATATTATGTACAAAACTCCCAAAATTATATAAATACTCCAAAAATGGCTTAAATTTGTTGAAAATTTTACATCGTTTAGAAAATGCAAAATATAATTTTTTGTCCAAATTTCAAGTATCTACGAATATTTTTAACTGAATTACAACAATTAACAAAATTAAAAAATAATAAAAACGTTATTTTCGTAAATTATCCGTTTTTCTTACGTTTTATCCTGGTTTTTCCCAGGTATTATGAAAACCGCTTGGAAAATTAAAAAAATGACCTCTCATAAGTACTATCTGGACACATACCCTTTCAGTAAAGGTGCCGCGTGTACATATCTGAGCAATATTTCTGGTAGAATTTTTGTACACATGATACATATAAAAAAAAAAAGTAAACATCACAATAATACCAATATATTTTTCATTACACTCAGAGTCTAAAAAAAATTGTATAGATAATAATTAACATACGTAAACATAACATAATAATATTATGTTTATATTAACTTTTTACTCTTAACTCATTATTTATAATTGTTATATTAATATAATAAATGGGAAAAAACGAGAGAATTTACGAAATGTATTATACATATTCAAATTGTAAATATCGTTGGGTTAGGTTAGATTAGAATCGTTTTTCGTATGCGAAAACTAATTAGTGCAATTGACCATTGCGTACAGATATACATTAATTTTCCTTTCTACCTTCCCAACTTCTCACCAACACCAGTAGCCCATCCATTGTGCAATGTACAATGTATATCCGTTTTTTTTTTTTTTTTTTTAATTTTTCTCGGAATCTAATTTTATTCAACTATCTATAGTTGAATAAAATTTAAATGCATGATATATGTATTCCAAAGTTTGCGATAATGATAATTGTACAATAGTAATTCGTAAGTATATTTATACAATATTCATTTGCTTGCGTCCCTCCACGATAAACGCTATATTTATCTATATTTAATATTTACTCATGCTTTATACAAATATTAAAAAAAAAAAAAAAACAACAAACAATTATTACTACAGACTTTTATGACATGACTATTTGTTTAATATTTTGTAATCGTTAATTTGTGATTAAAAATAATACATAACATGACACTTCGGAATATGAGCACTCAACAATAATATTAGAATAATTCGTTTGAGATATTCGGCGTATTTCGGCAATAAAGTTTTCGGTAAACAGTTTGCTACCCACTTGGTTCCAATATCGCCAAAACGTTTTATTTACTGTGTGCAATATTTTAATAATGGATAACCAGTAGCCCGGTAACCCGGAGTAACCGAAGACAGTAAACGTATTTTATAATTGTTTGTTGATTCCCGGCCACCTGGTCGTCGATTAGGGCATTCAGTTATCAAACGCGATTGCAGTAAACATAATAATATCGTCAAAATTGTTTGTTCGCTAAATTATACTGACCCCCTAACCTAACCTAATTTGGCTGTCGAAAACAAGTACCCGCTATTATTGCAAACGTAAAATAATACATAATATTACGGTAACTGAAGTAGCGGAGTATCGTTTGTGTGGCGGCACGGCGCGCGGTGTATTACTATAGTGCTCCACCATACCTCCCCCTACCTAAACTTAAAAATGGAATATCTCGTTAAGGGTGGACGAAATCGAAAATTTGACACCAAAATTTATTTTAAGTAATACTCCATCTATTTGTGGAATTTTTAATATAGGTTCTCATTTGAAAAACCAAAGTTAGTATCGCCACGGGATACTACTTAAATGTTATGAATAATCTAAGCATTCGAAAATATCTGCAACCGAAATAATTTATATATTTTTTAGATTCTCAGTGGAACGAAGAAGCCTATGGTTTTAAAATAATGTTTATTTTTTTTGGTGGACAACTTTTTAACCAAACATTTTTTTCTGATTTACAATGATAGCACTTTTTCTAAAAGGAAATCTGATTTGGAAGGTACTTTAGGGAGTTTTCGATTTTCCCAAGAGTTTTCCCAACAAATGTGCAAAACCAGGAAAAATATAAAAATCGGTACAATATTAAACAAGCATCACTATAAACTGAACTCCGCTCAGAATCGTTTTTTCGTTAGCAACGATTAACAATTGTTAACAGACATATACATTCAATTACCTACAACAGTGGCTACACTCGTCTCCATTATCCTAGGGTAGATTTTTTAGTTAGTAAAAATACTCTGTTGTTTACCTTAATTCTCGCCCAGTGTTACTTATTACTTGGAACTTTTTTTGAAATGTTCTAACAGTTCATCTTAATTAAATACTTCTAGTGTAGTCTTAGGCAGTAGCGTACGCATAATTTTACTAAGATTAGGATTTTCACTACAGATTCTCATAGACCCATGAGGGGCTTTGCCCCCCTTACTCTATAGCTGAAATAATAAATAATACCAACATTAAAACACAAAATAGTTAGCAATATGCAGTTTTAAAAATTAAACAATTACAATTTTATATTAATTTATACTTACAAATAATACGTCCATATTTTATATATGCGTAGACCGTAGATATATTTCACGAATATAGCTTTCTATTAAATCTTTACAAACCACGGTTATCTACACATTTGGATAACCGTGATACGTACCTATACCTATCTTAGCTCATGGTTGTTACAGATGTTTTTTTCAATAGGTAACTAAAATTAACTGTAAAAAATGATCAACACTAAAACTAAAAAAAAAAAAATTGAAGAAATTTCGGGGAGGGGGAGGAATTAAACCCCTAGAACCCTACCCCTGCGTACGCCACTGGTCTAAAGTATAAAATGTAAAACTATATAAAAAAATTCTATATTTGACACCCGGATTACCCTCATGATAATGCTAGTGGACCTACCCCTGTGGTGCAAAGTATCAACAGATTTTTATTTTATTTACAATATAGCCGACATAGGTAAACCTACACGTATATTAATCTTCCTACTTTTACTATAATATTAAAATGTATACATGGTTTCTTGCCAAAATAAAATGGCCGAAACAAAATATATTTTATTAGATTAAGTCAACAACATATTTAAAAGTGTGTCGTACACGCGATTTTAGCATTCAGGTCCTGGATAAAAAACAATATTATTAGTTTATTTTGGATTTGTATGAAAATAGCTGCGTGTGATACTGTGATATACAATATTTTGATGTCGCCATCGTATGGTTATTTATACGATGAGTAGATTCTCATAGCTCGTAATTTAATCATCGTTAAAACCTATTTTGGCCAACCGTATTCGATTAGGTCATTGTCAATGCAATAGTTAAAGTGGGAAAACTACGAAGGAGGATTATATCTATTTACCGAAAATTTAGAGGTGTTCCCAAGAATTAACTAAAAAACCCAATCGAAGTTTCAGAAAACTCCATCATGAAGACAAGGCTTTCAAAATGTTTTTCCCCCACAAACATTTCTTCACAAAAATGTAATATTAATAGGGTTTAAAAATCAAATTCAACTCCCCCCCCCCTCTCAAATATTATCCTACACGCTACATACATGCTCAGTAAAATTAAAGTAAAAACCGAATATATATAATTCAATGTAGGTATCCAATTTATTTATTTTTAATAAATCTAATTAGAGTTTTTAAAAATTACATACCTAATAATTAAAGCATACCCCCGGAACTCGGTGCACGTTTACGTATCTATATAAAATTGTTTAATTTTAATACCTAAATCTAAAAGTTGCAGACATTGTTTCTCTATAGTATACCAGAATGTCAAATATTTTTGATGTATTTTTTTTAAATCAGTCGATATGAATTTTTTCTGATATCCGATAAACCTATTTATCTACTATATATGGTAGATCCAATTTTTTTTTTGAAACCATGAACTGATCATCAAATTATTTGATACCCGATTTTGACCGCTATCATTTAAATTATGCAAGTTTAAAGTAATTAAGTTAATTAAACACTATTAGTGTAATTTTGTTAGTAACGAGTTTGTAAAACTAAGTACATTTTTTTTCGAAAAATATCGAGTCTAATATCAGTTAAAAAAAAAAAAAAAAACCAATAACCGATTTTTTAAAATTGCCAATATCAGCTTATACCGATGCTCATCTCGACTGTTTAGTACTTATTATGATACCTTTAAAGGCGTATCAAATAATATTTAGGTATTTTTTTAATTTTATTTGCAGATTTAATAGTTTTGTTAAATAAAGCCTAAAGTCAATGTTTGATTTAATTTTTATGAAATGTTTTTTGGATTCAAATGAAATTTGATCAATCGAGTTAACAACTTCGGTATATTGATTTATAAGATAGGTATTAATTTATTGTTTTTTTTTTTTGATACAAACTCTGATTAGATAGGTATTTATCTAACCGATGGTTTGAACATTTTAGTGGCTGCAGAAAAATTTGAAAACTTAATAAATTGCATTATAAATAATAAAAAAAAAAAAATCCATTATTATTATTTTATAAATGTATTCTTTTTTTATTAGATGAACATTATTTATGAAAAAAGCTGTAAGTTCAAAAAATCTGAATGAGAACCTGAGACTTGTAGTACAAACACTATAAACTTTATAATGGTCCGCAGAATTCGCAGTTACGTAGTCCATGAAGTCAAAAGGTTGGCGGATTTAGAAGGTTTTAATTCAATGTTTTATTTGTATAAGTATCAAACAGCATAAATATTTGTGAACACCATATTTATAACTATTAAAATTTTTAAGTTATTGACAAAAGCTTAAAAACATGTTTACCCCTTTAGTGGTTGATTTGGGTAAAACCCTAACACCACCAAAATTTAAATTTTATATGTGTTGCTTTTTAGTCTGGACGTTGTTAAACTAGAATTAGGATGTAAGAAAAACCACCAGTAGTAGTTGTTGATATTTAGTCAAACAAAATAAATCACACACAATTCAATTTATTACATAATATTATATTCTGGTTACATTAATAATACTGTAATAATGTAAAATATAAAAATACAATTAATAACACTATAAAAACTGTGCGAGTCAATTGAAGGTAAATTAACATAAAATTATTCAAAATTTTTTCAAAATATCATCATTAAAGTGCAATCAAATTTTTATCTTGACAAATAGAATAAATTTTGCATGTCAGAAAAATAGTGAACTAATAAAGTATAAAACCTCCAATATTTTTGTAAAATATACTTCACCTATGGTCAGTGATTAAGAGTGCAATACTCGTATATAAATAATAAACCATACAAATCATCAGTATTATAGAATTACTATTTTCATTTCTTTAAACTTATATATATGTAAAAAAAAAAAATATATTTTTATATAAATTATATTTAATCTAAATTTTGTGTATAAAACATAAATTACGTATGGCAGTAGACTTAAATATTATTTTGTTCGATTTGTTACATAAGTTATAACTTATAAGCAATAAAATATAATATTTTGTTCGTATGTATATGTATCAAATTAAGTAAAAAATAATAATAATTACATAATATAAAAAGCACAATAATTAAAAACAATAATGATTGGGTATTACAACAGATATTAAAATGATTGTTGGTATACTTTCAATATTAAATATAATAAAATAAATCTGATATACATTTATCAGTTGTATTAGTTTTGTTCGAAAGATCACATAAAGCTAATTATTTTGTTAGTATAGTAAAAAAAAAAAAAAAAATAAAAAATTATTAATAATTAAGTGAAATACCTAATATGATTATTGAAATACTTAATTTTTGATTGTTAATATTTATTTTTGATAAACAACAAAGAAAATCAAAAATAAATATTATGTCTTGATCAAATTATTTCTTTTTCGATTCAAGTTGCTTAATTCTAGCAGCTTTGACTGATCGCGGTGATTCTAAATACCGCCTTTTAGTGCTAAGAATAAAATATAAATAGTTATTATAGTACTAACACATACTATGTAAATTGTAAATTGTTTTTACCTAGATCCGAAAATTCGATTGTTTTTAGTGATTGGAGTACGGGTAGGTTGTAATGGACGTGAAGGTGTTTGTTTAACAGGTGTGTTCTGTGCTCGCAGAGGAACTAAATTATTTAAGAAGTTTGACCAATAATCAGGCGAAAGTTTAAGCATTTCTTCAACAACCTGAACAAAAAATAGATTTCGCATTATTATTGTAACTAGGTAATATTATACATAAAAAAAATATTATTATCATACTTTGTTGCTTAATTCACAATCAAAATACAAATTTTCAGAAGCTTCGCTCGAATAACCAACAATGGTAGGACCAAATACTCGGGCTAGATTCCCAACAGGCATTTTGCAATCAGGTGTAGCCCCAACTCTAAACAAATTAATTATAGATAAATTATTTACATTATACAAATTTAAAATAATACCATGTTTCATACTTTTGCAAATGCAACATGATGTACGCAAGAGTATTGCGGTTGGGCTGAGGCAATAGTGATATGGCTTGGTACAATCGATGTTCAGTTTCATCTTTTGAATTTCTTACAGCATCCGTAAATGTTTTCCAATCATAATGAGGTATTAATGGATCATCTAGAGTCCTCAGAAAATCTTTCAAACAACCACACACCACATGTATATCAACATCAGATAAGTTTGGCACACCTTTACGGAATTTTTCTTTAAGTGCTTTAACTTCTCTTTCAGAACCGGGTATCCGATATAGGCCCACAGTGTCGAATCCTCTTTGTTCTATTTCGTTGACACAATGCATAACCAACGCAGGTATCATCGGGCGACCATTAACTATTGGCGAATAATCAGCTATGCGTCCCTAAATAAAAATAAATATATCTAATTATAACTTAAGTATAAGAAAATCACACAAATAATATTTAATTATAAGTATATTTTAGTGTTGTGGCATATATTTAGATAACCGGACTGTTATATCCGATTAATTGATTTCTGCAAAATCCGGATATTCGAATATTTATTGTATTCAGATTTTTGTACTTTCAATGTTTTTTAAGTACCTATGTATTTTTATTTGAATAGACGAGTAACCATTTATATCCTAAATATTCTTGATTACATTTTATGAATATGTAAATAGTAGATACATACATATATCCAAATTGATTTTTATCTGGTTTTTAAAAAAATCCGAAAAATTTCAACACTAGTAAATTTATAATGTACTTTCAGGAGAATAACAACATGAATAATATTTTACAAGAGAAAAATGTATTAAGTTCTCAATTTAACCAATCCCCCAAAAAATGTGAACAAAATAAATCTGATGAGAATTGTAAGTTTTTAAGATTTAAATTAAAAATAATAATAAATTACTAAGGTGAGTATAACACATAGCCATGAATCTTATTTTTGTTAATCATTTCATATTTATAAAATTACCTAGTGAATATTAACACCGTACGAAAATTCAGATTATTGAGAGGGAATGTGATTAACAAACATATATTAAAATTAACATAGAGTAAAAACAAAACATACTCCGTTTTTGTTTGGTGTACTTTTTACAGGAATACATGGTAATGGAATTTTATCTTTGTGTTCCAAGTGAGCAGTCGCCTTACAGTCTAAGCATTTTACTACAACACGGTTGAATTTAACTCTAAAAAAAAAAAAATAATAATAATAATATAATATATATATGTGATCATCATATTAATAAACTATTGTAAATAAAAATGATAGTAATATGTATTACTTTTTGCCACACGGACCACAAATTTCTGGAATTATGACATTTTTTTGAGTAAAATTATGGGATCTACTGTTCAATTTATTTAGTGCAGAACTTGAATGAATCGTGTTCGGTGCATTTTGATTATTTTCATTTCCATATTGATCGGAATCAAACGAATCGAGAGAATCTACAAAATGTGTACAATAACAAAACATATAAAAAAATAAGAATCACGTATAATATTTGTTTGATTATAAGATAAACATTTTATAATGTTATACCGGATATAGGTGGTGCACTTGGTGTCGGAAAAAGACACGTCGGTCTTGTTTCAATAATTGATTTTGCACTGACATTTCTAGTAAACGGTTGCACTGTAACAGTAGTGGTGGCAACAATTTGAGTAGAAGAAGTAGTTGTAGCGGTCTATATGAACACCAAAAATACAAGTATTTTAATTTGATAAATATTTAAATAAATAATAAATTATAGGATTACCTCGATTTCTTTTACTAATCCATTATTTGCATTTGTACGGCCTGACAAACGTTTTCTCTTAACTGTACCGAGTACATCTTCAGGTTCCCAACGGTCCAAAGCATCTTCAAAATTCTTGTCAGAATCCAGACTGTCTTCTACTCGAGAGTAACTGATGTCAGATAATACTGATTCTAGAATACATCATTTTCAGTTATAGAAGAAATCCGTTAATTTAATTTATTAATTAAGTTTTATTTTACCGGTTGTGTCTTGACGGTGTATATGATCAGACCTTTCAGCTTCGTATTGATATTCCGAACCAGATCGATTGCCATTAGGATTCGCTTTATTAAATAATTGATAAAAATTTTCGAGTTTCTGAGCCTAATTAATTAAAAAGTTCAAATAATTATTACCTAAATAACACATACATTTATTCGAGAAATTTAATTTCAATATTTTACCAAACTGTCTCGTTCGATTTCAGCGTGTCTTTTTTCTTTATTCGCTTCATCCAATAGCCGGTTGGAACTTTTAAGATTGTGCATGAGTCGATCGCACTCTATGCGCGTTTCTTGCAGTTTTTGTTTCAATATTTCTTTGTCGCCTTCATGGTTATTTAATTTTATGCTCAACACGCTAAAAGCCATGATTTTTGCTTTAAAGTCTATAGAAATAAAATACACTCATTATTATTATTTTTTAAACCGTTTTTTTAAATTTACCTTTCTCTACAGTAGTATCCAGTAGCTCTAACATGAACCTGACCTGTTCGTCATACCTCATTGGTAAAGATAATCGCTGTTCCATATTGTTATTGATGGCTGTAACTTGTAAATTGTGTCGTTTCTAAAACAAAAAAATAATTCAAGCGAATAAAAATACAGTTAAACCGTAAAGTATTTAAAAAAAAAAAAAAAATCATAACTGTTTTTTTTTTTTTTTTTTTTTTAATTTCATACTTTGTGAATAAAACCAAACGAATGTACGAGTTTATAATTATTATGGCGATTTTTTTTTTTTATTTCAACCACGGGACACACAACTTAACACACCACTGTTGTTTCCGCGTTCTGTAGACGACTAAAGTCCAAAAACCGTCTCTCGGTCGAGATATTGAATTATCTCAGTACGTATAACACATGGTATTAATAATTATTATTCAACATATAATTTAGACGATACGATACTATAGTAAATAAATGGCCTTCGGAAAACCGTTAAAATAATCGATAAATGTAAAACATAATATTATATGCTTTATAACAATCTAGAGTCTGGAATGTATGCGTTTTGAAAATGTCAAATACACAAAGAAAAAGCAGCTGAATATGCATCGGGTTTTACTAGGTAAAATAAATGATGTTTTTTTCTTTTTTAAACATTATTTTCAAAATTTAAACCAAAACTAAACATAACATAATTCCTATGTACTTACTCAAATAATTAAAATTAATATAAAAATCAATATTAGAATGAAATATTTTATAATCTCCATTAAATGATTAAAAAAAAAATTAATTAAATTAAAGTTTAAATCCGTAAATTAACAATAATTGAACTGAATTCCTCTAAGAAAAAAAATGGATTTTTATTTTTTTTAAATTGATTCTTTTTATAATTAATGAGTTTGTTGATTTATTTAAAAAAAAAAAAAACGTTAAACATGCATAATAGCATGGTATATAATACTAATATGCAACAATGTCAATAGTCCAACTGAATATGCAAATTAAAATAATCACGTACCAACTCTGAATAGTAAACAAAATGTCGTGTCTTTCAAAGAGTATTCGAAAAGGTTCCTCAAGGAGACGAAAACATTTTCGAGAAGTTTTTCTGTGACAACATGGCGTGAAAATTTCATGAAAATATCCGTCGTACCTAAACCGTATCCATTACGCAAATGAAAAACCGACAACCGCGTAAAGAGATAATATTTCGTTTAAATATCAAAAACGAACAGTTGACACATGCGTTGGTATCCAGTATCGCGTGTAAATGATTTTTTTTTTTCAAATTTTATCTCGTTTTATTGCGCCGCGCAATCGGAATTTGTCGCACTTTTCTGTACGCATTACGTTTGATAAATTAATACACATTGGTAATACGATATTTTTTAGTTGTAATGTTTTGGTTTACAGAGTCTCCCTATTCCTTATGTACGCGAAAAACCGAAAAGTTTGGCCACCAATGTCGGCGACAGTTTACACCGACCGCCGTGACAATAATATTATTATTTCGATATTTTTTTCTAATCTCGTTCTTTCGGCCTAAATAAGTAAAAAAAAAAAAAAAAGAAAAGATATAAATTCACATGTAATACGCACGGAGAGTAGTTGCTAGATAAACGACATTATTTTAACGTTCGAAAAATTACGTATTTCGCTCGGTAACCTATTTTTGGAAAAAAAAAAAAAAATACAACAATAAGAACTTGAATTACTATTATTGTTGTTAATTCGAAACATTTTTTACATATATATGTAAGAAACGACTTTTTTTTTGTGATGATCCAATTTTTGGAAAACATAAAAATCACCAGTAAGCATGTGTAAAGACCAAATCATTTGAAACAGCTTAAGAAATATTCGTACTAGCGCACCTATAAGTTGGAAAATTGAGATTTTGTTGGGACAGCCAAAGAGGAACTGACCGCCCGAAGGACAAGTAATAAAATATAGTTTATAATGGTTTTCAAATTTTACAATACATTATTTAATTACTATCAACATCTATGTTAAAGTTAAAAGGATGTTTAAGACATGAAGGAAGTGAGGTTACCTTGGATTATTCAGGACTGTTTCAAATCTTTGGGAGGGGCCCCTAAGAGTCTAGTTGCACCACAGGAAGTACGCAATATATTATATTCGAACAGTTAATTTTATTAGGCGAAAATCGTTCGAATAACGACCTTGCGGAATATGACTTAACAATGAAAAAATGTTAAATTTTACTTTTAGTACGTGTATCTATTTATCTCACTTTTGTATATTTTAGGTACACACGCACACACACAGATTCAGAAGGACTCATTTTCTTACATAGGTAGACGTACACGCGCAATAATAATTAATCAAAATTATCGGTTAGAAAAAAAAAAATTGTAATAATATAGAAACCGCAGTAACCTAATGTAATCTATTTACGAAAAAAAAAAAAAAAACCATTACATCTATTATTACAGTGAGTTTTGAAAATGCCGATGAAAAAATGATAATCAAACCATAAAAACGAATATGTACTAAAAATGTAAAATATTTTTTCGTATCGGTTGACTATAAAACATTAAAATCAGTGAATTTAGGAGAGAAACATTGAGTTAAATATTGTTCAATGTAATGTACCAAGACTAATACAAACAACTGTAACTAAACATAGTAAAACCAAGAAATACAAATTCAGTTTTTAATTTATACATTTTCGCAAATAATTTATGATTATTCAATTCGGCCGTCAATTATAATTTAAATCATTAGATTTAATATCTGTTTTAGTACACTCGTAATATTCGTTTATTTTAGGGTATTAATTTAAACGTTCCAAATTTTCTTCAGTAAAGGCCGGACTGACCCGAACCGTTAATCCACGAACATGGAATGGGCAGAGGAAGTCTAAGTATACAGTTATTAGGCCCTCAATTTTAACCTATTAATTCTTCTTTGAAATAAAAAAAAAAAACTTTCAAACAGTGTCAATGTATTATTTTGAACCAACTCTTTGAATTGTATTTCGATTCTCTACAATAATTATTTGTCACTGAACAAAAACCGTTATTGAGTAATTTTCACATTTTTCTCCATTCGTTAGAAAACTACAAGGGAAATAGATAAAAACGAATCAACCAAACAAAACGCGCCACCCGTGATATTGATTGGGGTAAGATTCTCGGTAGAAAAACCGTTCCATTAGGCGGCCGGCCGATTGATAATACGTATAATCAATAATAATCGTGGATATACAAAATATTGTATTTTAACCGGTTAACGTTTAATGTTAATTTCCGATGTAAAGATTCAATTTTAAAACCGGATATACCGTAACCGTTCGCCCCGTACACAAAAAAAAATCGTAAATAAAAGAGCAGCTCAGCTTTCAACAATACGAAACCTACTCGGGGGATAACGCACTCGACGTCGTATATAAAGCGAATTCGAACGTAAATCTCATATATAAGTAAGTTGACGAGGTGATTTTTTTTTTCCTCGGAGACCTTGCAGCCGCGTGTCCTCCTACAGAACCTACAGGTTCGCGCGAAGAAGGTCGTGCGCATAGAGTATAATAATACTAATGTTCAAAGTCGTTGTCGTTTGTTGAATAGACGCGGATAAGATACTATTATATACTTGGAAGATTGTCGACCGAAAAAAAATTAAAATAAAATATGTATCTAACCCGTGAAGAACGACAAAAAAAAAATAAATAATAATAATAATAATATAATTCATTTTGACGGGAAGTCGACGCCGCGGTTTTTAAACGCTATAAATTCCGATGGTTCGGGGGACGGGAATTTTTCGACACGCGCGTACAAAATATCGAAATTAATTTGACGGTGACATCGCGCGGTATAGAAAAAAAAAATATGTTTCGCCAAGTCAAGACTGTATAGTAAACTGACTATACTTAAGTATATTATTATTATTATTATAATACCTACGGGGCACCGTCGTCGTCGTTGTCGAGACTTCAGTACAAGGCACAGAGTAGCACTGGAACACGACGGATGATCGATAAAATAATAATAACGTATACAGTGTTTATTATCGCCTGTTTATTTTTTTCGTCGTCGTAGAAAACGACCCTCGCCGGGGACGATAGCGAAACGTAATAATTTCGTTCGCGGTTGTCGGGTCGGCTGTACACGGGTGAACATCATTCACGATACGAAAAACGCCGCGATTTGGCGAGAAAAACACTTCCCCCGTCCGGAGAAAAAAAAAAAATCGTCGAAACGGCCCGAAAAGTCTCGCGACACAATAATGTACGACGGGCGCACCGACGGAATTCCAGTAAGTTCATTAAGGTTAATCGTGCGTGTTTTTCGACGGAAAAAAAAAATTTGATACAATTCCCTAAATCGCACCTGTACTTTTTTTTTTTTACGCGTTTAACTATGTACGATAACAATAATTAATCAGTCGAATTTTTCGATCGATGGCAATATCGTAATATATAATATATATATGGAGATAATAAAACGAAAATGTTTTTGTTGTATAGGTACACATTTTAAATTGTTTTTTTTTTTTCGCGAGTCGTATAAATGGCAAATCGCGCATGCGCGATGATTTTATTTTCAGTCTGGAGGCTCTGTAGATTTGAATCGATTCGGTTTTTTTTTTTTTTCATTATTCGGCCTGCACATTGCGTACAGCTCTACTACTACTTCTACTATTACTACTACTACTACTATACGATAGATCCGTAGATCATTCGGCATTCAGTTAACAAGAGTCCCCGCAGCGATATATACACCGACTCTGTGTGACTCACGTTTGAATATTTTCATTACAATAGTACACGTTTATTAAAGATCGTCAAAAATGTGAGTACACCTAACAATATAATCATTATTAATATTATTATTAATTACATTATACTCGGGCGATATTTATGCGCATTTTTTCTGTTTTTTAATGCAAAACATGAATTTTATTGTCCGCGGGGAAGTTCAAAATATTCCATTCGTATAATACATAACGGCGTTTGAACGTTAAATAATTTTATTATCTCTACTCAACTCGGAATCAACGTAAACGTAATATTTACTTGAGAATTTCGCACAGATAGGCACTGTCGATATTTTTTTGCGAGAAAAAACCGTACAATATCGTTATTTAATAACGTCCCATTATAATATTATATTCAACTCTATTTACAAATAATTACGATATCGTTATCGCACCTTAATATAGTAGTATACACCCAAAGGAATTATGGTTAACACAGGGCCGGTTAGATTTTAATATGTAATTTTTATCGTCAAACTACGAATAATAAATTGCTGCAACGTTGCAGTTCGAATAGATATTTTACGTACATAATAATATTATGTACAAGGTAGATTGTAAAACTATTAATTAGCTAGGTGATTTTGTTAATGCCGTTTTAATCTAGTTGAATGTTCGTTGTAATATTATCGGGGCAGAGTTTAGACGTTATTGTTATACAACAGTAGTAACAATAGCTATAAGCTATTGACTCGGATAATAATAATAATTTAAAAAAAACCCCGATAATATAATGTAACGTGTTTAATAAAAACCTATCGTATCAATTACAAACTCGGATACGATTATTTATCATTAATTAGTGGTGCGTTTTAAATCGTTGCCAGTCTGCCTGTACTCAAATATCTATTCGGCAAAATACCTATTATAAAGCCTACTCTTTGTCGTTTATAGATTACGAGGAGATGCAAAGATAAAATATCAAATCGTCAATACGTTTTGCACATGTATTAGCATAATATAATAAGTGTGGGAAATAGGGGCGTTGGAAAAAATTCCAATTTGGATATTGTTGAAATCCGATTTCATATAATATTGGCAAAACTGACGCGGTCGTTTTTTATTTTTGATTAAATTCGTATATCTATCTATATAAATCGGATTTTAATGTAACTACCATTTCGGTACAGGAATATTTCATCGGAAGTTCCGGCGACTTCGAAATTGTGGCGAATAGAAAATTTACTGGGTCGCGTGATCACTCAAACAACCGAGGATCCGAAAAAAATTCCGTGTTATACATAACATGATTTCCACTGGGACCCCCTTTTATGGGTCGGGACATAATAGTTCATAGTTAATAGTTCATTCAATTTATTGATGAAAATGTACACCGTAATATTTGTAATAGTATATGTTATTGACAAATAGTTAAAATCAACTGCTCTGAATTTCGTTTGAAAAAAAAATAACTACCTCGTACTTACGAATAAATAGACACGAGCGATGACCAAATTAATATTATGTACGTTATAAATCGCCGAAACATACCTACATTCTTTATACGACTTTGTGACTTTACAATCGTTTGATTTTGTTATTATACAATATACTTGTTCGTTACAATTTACGTATTAAGCTAGTCGCATAGGTAATAATGATATTAATGATATTTTAATGCGTTTTCTATAGTATATAAACGTAATAATGTTGATAATGTCCAAGGACAATAATGATTTCCTTTCGATGTTACCAGTAATTCGAAATAACTGCGCGTGATATAACACGATTAAATATAATTATGAAAAAGTTTTAACAGGTGAAAAAAACAAAACCACAAGTACAAAACTCGAAAACTTCTCACACTTCAAACGCACAAAAAATACATTTTTATCAAATTTACGATATTATATAGAATGGTATTTTTGATTTTTCTCCGCTAACTATGTAGGGAAAGTATATAATTATTGGCAGCAAACCCTTACCGCTACGCAACCACTTTCATCCCCCAACCATCACATTCAAAACTCTTTTGTAATTTTTAAAATGCATTAAATTAATTGCCATATTTTTTTATACACAGGCCCCCGACATATCGAGAAAAAAACAGATTGTTTGTTTCACCACTGAAAAATAAATAATAACAAATCGAAGGGATGTAAATAGAATAGAATTTTTTCCATACAACTCGTACACAATTAATTATTGTATTTACAAAACATTTTTCCAATACGTGCAGTTGTCGTGAGTGTGTGTAACGGCGACTATAGCATAATAACAATTTATATACAGTATATTCAATTATTCAATCAACTATCGTAGTGCGCGATAAATAAATAATATGCTGGTTACATTTAGTGGGTCATCTTCGGAATAAAAGAAAAAAAAAATAATACAAATTGATTACCTATATCATTTGATATTTGCTTTTTAGGCTGTAACGATTGTTAGAGAATTCATCTTAAAACGCGTTATTTAATATGCAATTTAGACACGTATTTGAAACCCAAAGTTAGAGGGGGGGGGTAGGGGAGTAAATTAATTTTGTTATGAATAATCAAACATTTATCCACTACCTTTTCCTATGTAACTGTTTTATCTTGTTTCCATCATTAACTAAAGGGCGGTTTATAGTAACAAATTTTATCTAGTTGGTGTATCCGAAAAGTTATTGTGCGATATTCTAGGTACTTTAAAAAATAATTTCAGAAAAAAATACTGGAAACCTGTGAATATTTATGCAACAACGGTTTGTGTTAAAATCTATGTAGATTTTTTTTTTAAGTAATTTAGTGGAAATAATCGTAGAGAACTTACATTTTACCAAATAACTACTGATTACTGATTACACTAACATTTCCTCGAGGCAGTATATTTTTCGAAAATTTTGGCGTTATTCAAGTTATTTATTAGATTATTCATAGCTTATTTGATTTTTTTTCTGGTTTTATGTAGATATAAATTTCCAGGTCTATTAAAACGATTAAAAATTTGATACAAGTTTCATCATAAATTGTACTTAGTGGTAAAAAAAAAAAAAATGAGCATTATATCTTAGTTTACCACTGGACTGGGCTCAGATTTCTTTTACGTTCGCAACGTAAATTAGAAGATAAATAGACTATGATACGGGATTCGGAGAGGCGACTGCTCCTATAAACTCCCTCTAATATGTGTCTGTTATAATAATAATAAAGATTCGCTATTTTTTTGCATTCAAATTTAAACGTGTAATCGAATTGTTTTATCTTGTCGTAGATCGACACCTGATACTCTATATAAGGGGATAAGTGGCGAGTGGAGCGGCGAAGATTGGAGGTGTACTCTCTCACAAAGTGACTTAAAAATAATAACAATTATGAGCGTTTATATTTAGGTTATTTACTCTTAAAATGTATATTTAAAATTTACAAAACACTTTATTTATCGGTAATCGGTTTTTTTTTCTGATTCCACGATATGTATTTAGTATATCCCACCCCGTTAAAAATTCCCGAGTAAGCCGCCGAACAAGGCGTCTATCAACACCATCAAATTTATTTTATTTGATCTATTGTTTATTTTATGGTTTAGTATCTAAGTCTCCATTACATTCTACTACTTAATAGTGATTAACCTTATACGATTCGTTTTTTTCCCAATAACGGTATTTATTTATAGAATGATTAAAAATACCTAATTAATTATCGGCATATTAAGTTAACTGCAGCTGCAACGGTGATGATTTAAAAGTATAGGCAAGAAAACTAGTGCACGTTATTACGGACAATGAAAAAAAAAGAAGCAAAAAAAATAACAAAAAAACGTTTAAATCAGGACGAGATATATAAAATTGGAATAATACCTAATTGTTAGAATACTTTTTTTTTATTCCGAGTATCACGTAGTATTTTATTTGACTGCAAATCACTCGAAAACAATGACGAAAATATATCTAAAAAAAAAAAAATAACAGAAAAATCACGTCAAGTGTAAAACCGTACACCGTAACTAATAGGTTAATGGCAACAGTAGAATGACCCTTCTGCATCACTACGTAGCACGAAATCATCTGCTCTTTTCGGAGCCTTGAACTTGATGTGTTTTGCAACACTACAACTGATCAAAACAAAATCTAAAATTTTTTCAACGCTTTTTTTTATTGCTCTATTATTATTGCTGCAAGTACGAGTACACTGTGCAAAATCACTTTTTTCTTTTTTTATCATATCTATAGTATTCATTTTTAAATTGTAAACATTTTAATTTGTAAGTATTCCAAAAGCATAATATGAACAATTTAATATGTATGGGGCCAACGAGTGTTGATTTAATCGTTTTGAATTATAGTAATCTGTCAATTGTGAACCGTGGGGAAAAAAGTTACCAACGGAATATTATGTATTTGGCTATGCGAAATTCCCGCGTTGTGGGTCAAAGTGTCAAAATCTAATAGCATCGGCATCGTTTTTATTTCTAAATAACTGTATATTGTATAACAAGCGGAGAGAAAAAGATCTTTCGACGATAAAGAAAAAAAAAAAAACAAATGTTACGTTCAATAATATATTGGCGGCGTAGAGAAAACTCGCTGGACAGACATGAACAAAAAACACTAGAGGAAAAACTGTACTTATTCAAAAAGTGTATAAATGTAAAAGTAACGATGACGACGAAGACGGATGTCGACAACGCGGATTCAGTTACTATACAGACGAACGGTGAAATACAAATAAATAAAACAATATGTACGCAGGTTTTTCTATCCGTGCGGAAACCGTTTTCGCAATGCATTGACATAGTACAAAATCGAATGCCAAACAGTACTATACAATTAATATAAAAATCAAGACTTGAATTTAATTTATTCGTTGGCGAAAGATTTTCAATTTTTTAGTCAACCGGGCAAATGGATTTAGTTGCACCCCTACCCCCTTCCCGAGAAACGCAACGATTAGACATGAACAGTGTTCGAAGGAGACACTAAAAACTATACAGTGTACACTTATAATTTATGTGTACATTTATAATAATTAATATGCTCAGAAAGAATTCTATACTCGACATTTTTTTTGTTTTAATACCTATAATTTTGTATAATTATTTTTGTCGTGTTTTCATCGAAGTATCTTAAAGTTTTTACAAAGTTTCATCTTGGATTTTTATTTTTACGAAAAGGAATTTCGGATAAAATTAATTTGTATTATATTATTATCAATCGGCATCGGTAAGCTTTTATTTCGTCTACAGTATATTAATATACCAGGCCTTATAATTTTTGGACAACTGTTGATTAGCAGACTCCGTATTTGCCTGCATTGTATAAATAAATAAATAAATAAAATACAAGAGTTTTTTTTAAGGAGTATATTCACCAACAGTGATAATCAGTTGTTTGAAAATGATTATTATCATCAACGTAACGCGCCATATTAGTAGTAGTTTCCTATGGCCACACGTGAGTGCGCTGATCATGGTAGTACCGGTATGTGGATGGCCGATAATCTGCCCCCTATCCTATCGGAAATCGTGTTTTGAACCGTCCATAATTATTATTTATTATCATTATTTTGTTATCATACTATTTGAGTATATTGACTGTAATTGCTCAATGTTAGTCATAATTTTCAAGAGAACATAACATACTATTATTATTTTTGTGACAGTGTTTATTTTGAATTTCATTATGTCAAAAACTTTACAACTCAATTTGTTAAAAAGATTATTATTTAAACCGGAAAAACGTTCTTTATGGCAATGGGTCGATGACATATTCAATCGGCAAGTGTTTTTACTACGAATTACATAATACATGGACAAGTATTTGCATCGGGTTTATTATTGTAATCAAATTATTTGTAAAATTAAGTTTGGATGACGACCGTATTAAAGAAGTGGGTCCTAACATGGCATGCGCAGAATGGTTGATGAAAAATGGCGCACAAATAAGATGGAAAGGCTGCGAAGAATTTGTGAATCATTACAATTGTTTACCGATCAAATCGCGCGGGCAACAGTTTCAAATTGAAGAAGTTTATGCCGGGAGAGAATCATCAATATCGTCTATAGGATTTCCTTTTTTCAGTAAGTATACAAACACTAACTATAACTTAAACTAACTTTAACTATGTATTTTATAGATTGTGTAAATACATATTACCTATTATAAAATATCAATTTTACAGCTGGCTGTAAGAATATTTCTGAAGTAGCATTTGTCGGATGCCATACAATTAACGATGAAGCATTAAGCAAGCTAAAGATTTTAAAAGATAACCTAACAACTTTGAAAATCAATGGATGCATGAATGTTACTGATAAAGGAATCTTAACATTAGAACATCTTCAGTAAGGATGTGATTAGTATTATTAAGTATTATTGTATTTAATAATATAAATATATATTAATGATTTTGAATTTGCAGGGCATTAAAATATTTAGAATTGAAAAATCTACAATTTTTAAAGAACCCAGAAACTATTGACACTATAAAAGAAAAGTTGCCAGAATGTGATGTACTATACGAGCCTAATGAATAAGGATTAATAACGCATACAAAGCCAGATGATAAAAAGAAACATTTATAATTATTATTAATATATTTTATAACAAAACTTTGTATGTAAAATGTCATTGACTGTTTAGTTTCATAAAACTTAGAAATATAATATAATCTTGAATATAGTAGATAATAGATTAATAATTATAATATTAAGATTATTCCCTTGTTCTTAATTGGAAATATTAATAAAATAATTTGACTGATACCTAATAATATATTTATTTTATTACTAACACATTATACATCTAGTCAGTATCAATTAGGTACTTCTTATTATAATAAAGTTAATAGGTATACATTTTTGTTAATATTAATTTGACAATACAAATAAAAAAATATTATTTGGTGTCAAATTTAAAATGAAACAAAAATCCGTAGTAAAATTAAAATAATATATCATACAAATTAATTATTGCAAAGATTTTTTAGTATCTATGTAACCAGGTCACAATTTCAACATTTAATTTAAATTAACCTACTTCAAATGTTTGTTTCTCATGTTACAAATCTATTAGACAGACACTTTCAAGATATATATATATATATATATATTGTAATGTACTAGTTCCTAAAAATAAGAAAGAAATGATTAATAAAGAAATGTTATTAATTTTGCTATGGTTGGATTAGGAATTGTTTATGTTAATTAGGTATCTATAATAATTATACTATGATATATTGTAATTAATTATGTGTTAAACAATTTAAAATATTTGCGTAAGTAAAAAGATACTGTTAAAGAAGTCTGGGGAGGGCCGAAGTCCCCTCCTCTGGATCCGCCACTGGCCATGATACAACTAAAAACGTGTTTTATATAATTTTAGTCCTCAAAAATGTACCTATATAATTTTTGTGTTTTTAATCTTTACAGGAATATCAATATGCGACATAATCTAATTAGTTCAAGATGGAAACTTACAGTGATGATATCGAGTATTTTTTTTACATTAAATACTGTAGTGTTTGGAGGTGAGCAATTGAAGTTTTATTTTAAAATTAATACTAATTAATTAGGTAATGATTTTGTTATACATTTGTTGTAAACATAAGCCTATGAATTTTGTTTGGACTTTCACTATAGTTTCTAATTAACTACATACATACATATGTATGGTAAATCAAATTCAATATTTGTCTTATTGTTTAAAATAATACCTATTAATAGACATTCAAAATAATGATAATTTTAACAGAGTATAGGTATCAGTATTATACATATTTTTAAAGTTATTTAGGCCAATTGATCAGTAAACGCAGCAGAATAAAATAATTAAATATGTAGAATGTTAAATATTTAATTTTAAACATTGATTATAATTACTATTACTACTAGTATTCATAATATACTATTTCTAAGTATAAAATATTGTTATTATTCCAGTGCCATTAAGTATGTCATATTCAAATCAAGAAAATATTAAAAATGAACGTTTTGCACAGGAAAAAGAACGCGATAATAAAAAATTAGATGATTCTAGTTGTATAATTAATAGTTCGAAGTACAGAGAAGGTGAACATGTGCCTGGAGCAGGTCCATGTGAGGAATGTATTTGTCATCCACCAAATGTTGTATGTTCAATGACAAAATGTCCAGTAAACAGTGGCTGTATTACAATTCAACTACCGAACAAATGTTGTCCAAAGTACAAATGCGGTAATAATATATCTTATTTATCTCTTGAAATGTCAACAATTGAAATATGTACCAATACAAGAATGAAAATATAATAATACGTTTTTTTTTATTATTATTAATTTATTAGATTGTGAACATAAAGGAAAACTTTATAATAATGGTGAAAAAATTAATAAATCTGACGAATCTGCGTGTAGAGTTTGTTTTTGCAACGGTGGAGAAATAGTATGTACTTCTATTGTATGTTACACTCGAAACGACTGTCAAGGATATTATTTGCCAGGAGATTGTTGTCCAAAATATGACAATTGCACATCAACTTCATCAATAGGTAGATAGCGGAGTAGATAGTATAAACAAGCACTAATTTGAATAATTGTATAAAAATAAAATTTGTGTTTTATTTATTTATTTTGTGTAGAACAAAAACCAAGAGATTCAATGGATTATGAAAAATCGAGTAGAAGAAATTACTGGCCACATAGTACGGAACAAAATTTCAATGTAGACAGTATTTGGAAAAGGGATACGACAAAAACTCAGCAACGAGAATTACCTACAGTTCCAGATGTTATAACGATACCATCAATATTTGTTGAAACTGAAGAAGTACCCAGAGAAACAAATAGATCATTACCAGACGACTTATTAGAAGGATTGGACGATTCAACTTCAGATTCAATATCGGAGAAAAATATCACTCAAAACGAACCAGATAATGAACTCAATACTCCACATAATTTAGTTACTGATTTAAAACATGAGAATTTGAATACTGTCGAAGATTCAATAACTTCATTTTTAGGATTTGATACTGAAAATTCAACAAACGAACAAACCACAGACACTAGTTTAATGATAAACACTGAAAGTTCAGAAACATCACCAGAATTTGAAGAATTGTTTGACACAACAGATATTGATAGCTCTGTAATAATTACAAATCAAAATGGTACAGAAATTATTACAGCCATAACAGAAACACCATTTATTAAAGAAATTATTAATTCGTCGACTGAAATGACAACTAGTACACAGGTTGAAATTTTTGATCCGAGTGACTTAATATTGGATTCAAAAAGGCCAATGTTTGAAGAATTTTCTACAATTACCCCGGAAATTGACCCTATAACAGAAATAGATTATGATGAATCGAGAGAAGCAACTACACCAAGACCAAATGACAAAACAACAGTGGGTACACCTCATAAATTAGTTATGGAAAGTTCACAAGGAACAATTGATGATGATATTAGTACAGAAAATGCATTCACAGACTTAGAAGATACAACAGACATGTTTGGACCTAACTTTGGTCATCGTTCGTATAAAACAGAGACATATCAAATTTTAACCAATATGCATAAATCCAGTCAACAAACTAAAGGACTAGATTATGTGACATCGTTATTACCTACCACGGACAAGAATTTTGAGAAAAAAAATTTAATAACTACTAAACCTCCTCAAAACAAATTACTTGATCAATCGTCAACCAAATCAAACATCGAAAATAAAATTAGTACAGTAAACACAGAATTTGATTCAGATAATATTTCTGTTGTAACAAACAAAGGAAATGGAAATAATACAACTAATGATACATATTTTCTGGAATTAGAAACAACAAATGTAACGGTGTGTGTGAATGATATTTGTACTGAAAGTTCAAAATTAAACGAAGAATTATTCGATCCTCAGACAGAGTCAACAACTCCTTTTATCATAGAAACTAAAGTGTTATCTAATCAAGAACCACCACCAGCTACTAAAAGAATAAAATACCCTAAAGAATATCCTGCAGAATTTGAAACGATTCAAAATGGGCCGTCAGTAACTATAACAAAAAGAACATATACAAGCATTCCAGATATAGTCTATACAACAACAACAATGATAACATTACCGACCTTAGATTTAATTTACAAAGCCAACAAAGATATAGACAAGTATGTAAATGAAATGCAAATGACAACTACAAATAAACCTAAAACTAATAGTAATTTAAGTCCGCTACGAAATTTATCCTCGATACAATTTATTTGAAAGTCAAAACATTACATATTCATGCATTTTGTGACACTAAAGGCTAATTAAAAAAAAAAAAAAATCCTTATTATAAACATTAGAGTAAGTATGAAGTAAGTACCTATGTTGTCTTAGTATACATTTGTGTAATTTGTGTATAGTGCATACTCTTAATTTAGAATTTAAATTTTTGTATTTTGATTAAAAATATGAATATTACCTAAATTTATAATATACAACAAATAACAATGTGATATAAATAAATATGAAATAAACTTATCGAATTTGTAAATAGATTACAATAACTCAAGTATACAACAAAACTACAACATTGATTACAACAACTGACATCTCCGTATTCAGATTAGTGTCAATCTAGTAATATCGGTGTAATAATATTTTACTTCATGTATTACTAAATGTAATTAAAACTATGATTACAATATCACTTTAATAAAAAATATCATTAATATAATTTTATTTTTAAATACCTACTAAAATGCTGGGTATAGTAAAAAAAAGAAACCAAATCTTAGAAAAACTCAAGATTTTTTTTTCAATATACATAGGTGTGAAAAATTTTAAATAAAATATTAATTATTGAAAAATAAAAATATAATATCCTACATAGTTTCTTTCAATTTTCTTTTTCAAATCAAATAGTAAAAAATTATATTAAACATAAAATAGGCACCTACTACTTATCCATCTAAATACTTAATCATTTTAGAAATAGAACATTTAGACACTTCTTTTTTAAAATGTTTCAATTATGAAACTAGTAAAATAAAAAACTAATTGTAAATATTATTTACACCGCTTACAACTGTCAAAAAAATTGATTTTAAGTGTTTTAATTTTGAAATGTTAATTTTATAAGCAAGTCATTTTTTTTTCATCATTCAAATTATTTTTAAATATGAGGTAATATTAATATTTATTAGTAGTTATGGTTTTATTTGTGAATTTGTAATGTTGCGTACTGACTACCTATCAATTTTCAGACTTTTAAACTGACTTTGATTTTTAAACATCAATTTTCTCATGTTATATTACCTACCAATATTAATTAATATTATAAAGAATATTAGCTAGGTAAATGTTTCAAAATAAGTAAAATGTAAAAAAAAAATTATAGGTTACCTATATCAAATTACATTATCAAAATGTTTGGATTTTAAACTTTATAAAATATATTATAATTGTTTTCAAATCTGAGATTAACTGAAAATTGTTTGAATACTCTTTAAATCTTAATATAAAATACCAAGACCTTAAAAACAAAATTAAAATCAATTATGAAATAGTAACAATGATTTTTGAAAATAATATAATTTATAGGTAGGTAAGGTACCTTACCAATTAAAGACTGATGAATTTTGAGTGATATTAGAAAAAGAAAAAAGATTAAAAGAAAAAATAATATAAAATATAGGTAACAGATTTATATTAGTACTAGCTTATAATAATTTGTATAAAATTGAATTTATATTTTTATGGTAAATTTCCACTTTCAGGATCACAGACGTTAGTGAAGGGTGGGCTGGTGTTGAATTTGTTCTATTCATTAATTATAGAAACTTAATATTTATTTATCCATTTATTTGGTAAACAGGTAATTATATTGTAATATCAATTTTAGTATGAAATTTGTAAATAAAAGTAACAAAATAACAGAAGTATTAAATTACATAACATAATTCCAACACAAGAATAAATTAGTCTAGCTGTGTGAGTGATTATTGATTTGCACTTATATATAATACATAAATGTATAACATAGGTATAAAACATTGAGAAAATAAAAGCATTTTTCAACATTATTATCGGTAAAATTCTGAGTAAGATTTGTATAAGTAAGCACTTTGATGTGTGTTTACTTCAAATAATACATTTTTACATTGTGAAACTTACGAAAACAATAAGATATAAATTGATAACTATATTAACTATTGTAATAAATTAAGTTTACTGTTGTTAATTTGTTAAAGAGCTAATATTATTTTATAGGTAGGAACCTATTATTTTTAAATGTTTTTTTCTGGAAACTAATTTAATAAACGATAAGAAATTTACAATTTTTTTGTTTTTGTAAACAATGCTACCTATGAAAAAATCTTATTATGTGGATGAACGACCAACACGAAAGATAATACCAGAAAAATATGGATCTATATTATTTTTCGTTTAACAGATTAACAGCAATTTGAGAACTTTTAATTAGATACTTCATGATTTACTTACTCGTCAAATACTGGAATATCGTTGTTTAAAAATAAGCAGTGCAATACCGAGTTAATGGTTCATAACAACAATCAATAAGCAAGTATAGTTACTATATAGTTAGATAAATAATTTAAGTAGATTAAACGAGTGAACGAAAAACAAGTGTATAAACGGAGTAACGGAAAACAAACGTGTCACTAAAAATCACATTAATGTATAATTAGATATTGAAATATTAAATTCGCCATTTAAATTAAATTACACAACGGCAAAATTTAGAATTTGAGGAACTCGACGGAGCGGACAATAAACAAAAAAAAAATAATACTGAGATAACCGTTCGCGATATTTTGAAAAATAACCGTTGTGATAAGGAGTGTGACCAACGTGAATCACAACGTTTCAAAAAATCCTATGTATATCGTTGTTCCTCGAAAATTGTGTACACTTGAAATGTATTATCAGAATGTATTTGATATTATTGATAAGGTTTGTTATCGTTAATCAATCCAGATTTTAGTGTTCCATCCACAGATATCTATTACATCTATATTATAATATATAGATAGGTATCTGATATTAAAATAATACACAGGTATCTGTATCCCGTAATGTCATCAGGTTCTGATTAAAAAATTTGAAAACTATAAACGATGAGGAATAGAAGAAGAATTGAGGAACACACGGATATAGTCAAGGCTTTCTAGATATCTAATAGAACAATATTATCGTCCCGTCGGGATTTCTTGCTAGAGGTGGAAAATTATTTATAGTTTATAGACAGTTTTTGATAGTTTGATGTTTTTAGATGAGCAAACGATCATTCCGATGATTAATACTGTCAATTTTTTTTTTTTATTACTAAAACAAAAACATTAATATATCTATGTATTATTTTATGATTTCCATAATTCTACATGATATTCCTCTAAGATGTAAATAGCTTAATTTACATCATTATAATTAATATTTATTTTTTTTTTTTTTATAGTGGTAACAAACACATTTTAACATTTTAATTGAATAAATCAACGAAAACAGCACCGCCAAAATCATTGAATTCTTAACAAGAACTAAATTCATAAATAATTTATAACACTTTTAATACACTAGTAACATAAATTGTAATCAGGATAATAATAATAATAATAAAAAATAGTAATAATAATAAAATAATGCTGACTTGTTTAACAGTTTTGATAATTTTATTACAGAATAATTCAGTAGGTATATTAATATATATTGTTTAAACAATAATTGTAATATTAAAAAAACATTAAGTACCTAGGTACTTGTATATTAATATTTATTGAAATTCAAATGATTTAATTATAGCCAATGACAAACATTAGGTATTACCATGGTTGCAGACAGCGGTGGCACGGTGATAAGAATAATATTGTGTCAGCAACTATCATTACCACGAATTATGATATCTTAAACCACGGATATACTAATGTATTTTTCTATTTTTCCGACTTTTCTTCGCTTTTATTTTTTTTAACTGCTTTTTGAGAGTTTATGCCGCCCAACTGCTATCATATAGTAGTACCAATCTACATCACGCCACCTGTCTCGAACTAGGTCCTTCCAGTTCACAATAACTGGACATTCAGAGTCCTCTCTTACACCATCTAACCATCTCTTCTGAAAATAAGCGTACAAAAAAAAACCATGTATAATAATAATTATGTATTTACTATTTACCTAAATGAAATGCATTAAATTAGGTAGTATATTATTGTTATTATTTTTGAACTTATTATATTAAATTGGAATTTATTAATTTCGAGAAAATAATTTAATTAGATTATGCAGATATAAATTTAAAATAAAAACAAGCTATTTTTATTAACTGGGGCTGTTTATTACGACGTATGTTATAAATTGAGATAATTTTTTGCACAAAAACAAAATGTCCATGCATGGTAATTGATATTATAATTTTTTTAAAAAACACTGTTGCTGGTGCACTGTTTTATTGCGGTGAAACACGATAGGCTGTAGACTTGGGCCCGGGATTGAAATTATTAGTCTAAGTTGACCGCGGGTCACTGTTCATTTCAACTCATACTCGCCATGCCACTATAAGTGAAGTTCTACAATTTTAATGCGTGCTACTAAAACGCCGTAACTATATTTTTTTTCCACATCTCAAAGAAAGATTTGCCGTGGGCGTGCCTCCTCTTAAAAAAAAAAAAAGAATAGTACCTACGAGTGAAAAAAAAAACTGGTTTTGGTAAATCGTGATGTCGAAGAGAAATGGAATTAAGTATACTATCTGACAGATTGAATATTGAAAAAAATATGTACCTATATTTTACATGGCTACAATAACACGTCGGACGAAATGGATTGATTGCAGCTGCAGGAGACACTGAGGGAAAAAAAGGAAATCGAACTGAATATAATACAAGTATAACAAATTTAACACGTACGTATATAATGTATAAATTACGTCTAATTTTTAATGTTATAATTTCTAATGGTTTATTTGTATTTTTATATAATATTATTGCTATTATTATAGTCGGCGGGTAGGTAATTGTAGATTTTTTTTTTTAATGAGTTTCATAACAAACGATCGATATTGTTAAAGATAACCAAGGCAGGTATAAGTTTAATATAAAAATGTCACCTCGTGTGTCACTCATAACACCGAAAATAAAATCCAGAAAAATTATTATCAGTTCAGTGAAAGTCAATAATTTAATATGAAAACTTTTGAGCTGACACGACAATGTCGAGTGAGTACACTTAACTTGCGTACAATAGATTTCTATGATTCTAACAGTTCAGTTAGAGTGTACCTACCTATGTTATATAGGCACTAGCAAAAGTTGACCTTCACACGAATCGCCATTGCTTTAAATCGGCGGGTCAAATGGTGTTTTTGTTGTTTTTAAAGCAGTTTACGTACGTGAAATACAATAGTAAACCCTTTTTATTTACTTGTGCCCATCATATTAGCATGTATTATTTTAATAAAATTAATAATTTGTTTAAAAACTATAACGGGTGCAGTTTTTGTTTTTTTTAAAAACATATTTTATTATTTATTTATAGTTTTTGAATTTCGTTTGGATACAATATTAAATATTGGTGTCTTATAACTTTACTAACATTAATTATTGTTTTAAATATTCGATGCGTACAAGATAGACACCGAGACCAAAGAGCGGAGACTATGAAAGAACGAGGAACGATAATCGCCAAATCAAAAATCGAACACCGTAGAAGCCGTCGGAATTATAAAGACTGCGAATGGGGGGGGGGGTATAGGGTACGTCCGGAGAAGCCGAAATCCGTTACTTCGTACTGCACCGGAGAGGACTTTGACGGCTGACGGGACAAGATCTTTTGGAATACCGAGAATGAGACGAGTAAAAGACGTCGGGGGAACTGTAAGGAGGAGGATTGGATTGAAAAGTGCGAGCACCGTTTGAACGGTATCCTAGATACAGTATACGTGTGACGTGATGGTCCTATAAAGTCGGCTTCTAGAAACAAAGACGAATGATTATTGCACGCTAATTCGTACCTATCTATATTTTAACACTTGTTCGAAAAATTCGTATTTAAATATTATATTTCGTTGCGGTCGCCGGCAGGTATTGTACAAACCGCAATCGTTGAGCGCACGAAAATAACAGACCGTGCAGGACGAAATCGCGACGAACATCACGACGGCGACGGAGCGAATGAAAACGGTTCGCGGACTATTCGACGGCACTTCCAATCGTAAATCGTAATGATTTTTAATCTGCGAAAATGTCAATATTACTGTCCGACCGACCGGAAACGTTAATAGTTGCGTTTCGTTTGGACCGACGACGGCGGCGGCGGCGTTTCGACTTTCTCGGAGTGCGTATGGCAACGTGTTTATGCGCGGGCGCGTCAAAGGTGCGCGCGGGCGTTCCGAGGACGCGACGGTAAAATCTCACAGTACACGCGAGTGTCGCGTACGAGTGCAGCCGTCCGCGTGTGCCGGGGATTACGGTAGGTGCGAGCGGATCGCCCGCGGCGGTCCACGTCGAAGTTGTAGCGGAACAAAACGCAACGCGATAATAAAATAATGATAACGATAATTGTGCGTATGGCGCCGCGGGTCGTCGACCGCGTCGCCGTCCAGAGTCGCGGCGCGAGGACGAGCAGTAAAATGCGATGTTTGGAAACGCGACGCGGAGCTTTTGCAATTGCACGGGGACGTGACCGAGGAACATTAGTCGAGGCGTTAATTATATCATCGCCTACACGTTACATTACTAACGTTTCGCGTGCGCGTATCGTGTGGAAATAGTTTTTTTTTTTTTTTTTTCGAATTTCTCAATTTTTTTTTTTCTTTCGTTTCGGTCATATCTCCGCACTAATAATAACAGCGATAATTATTAATAATCATTACGGTATACTCGCCCCGCTAATTGTTTTTAATCCGCCGACATCTCTGTACGCGGTGTGCATGTAGACGGCCGTTCGGAAACCTACAATACCATACCTATACGTAATATATAAAAATACCCTCGAATTATTTAAAGCCTTGGATATACCTCGAGATTTTTAAAATCAGCATCCAAATACTCGGGAAAATAATAATGATTTCATTGAGAGTCGTAAAAGGATTCAAAATCTGAAAGTAGTAAACGATGCTGCTGAACGTGGAATTTCATTAATTCGAACATTCAATGGGATACTTACCAACCAAGAGGAGCAAAAGCGATATCTTTTACAAGTAGTTGAACGACACAGACAGAAGTATCCGAATCCAAATAGATCAACACTAAATGATTGAAATTGTGTATATTATTATGGCAATTGATGACTTTTTTTTAATTATTTTGTATGTTATTATAGTAATTGATAAGTTTTTTATTATTATTATTAATTGTATATATTTGTTTGTATTTATACACTATTGATTATATATGTGAAATTTATCATATTTTCAAATAAGTTGCGCAACCAAAAAAAAAAAAAATAAATATTTTTCCTTGAAATCTTTTGCGAGCCTTCTTATTATTGTACATAGATGAATAATTTAAGTGTGTGGGACCATCATAAAATAAAAATTTATTTATTTTTTTGTCACCCTACTATACATAATATATAAAAAATATTATGTATTGCACGCATACCCGGGTAATTTGTACGGGACAAAATCTACAATCGAATAATTTCCGCCGTCGTCGCCACTGGACACGGCAGACTGCGGCACGTGCGCATTATACATCATACTTAATGAAAAGTCTATACAATAATAATTTATAACGATAAATTGTCTCGGAGAAAGTAATAATATTCGTATGTTATTATAGATTGCGGGCACACTCCCACTTTTGAGCGGTCTCGTCCCGCACGGTGTTCGCGGTGTTTTTTTTTTTTCAAAGATCTCTTATATATATAAAAACGTGACGGGCGTCTCGGGCATACTGTTATTGTGACTCGAACGGTACTCGTCGAACCACATACTCCGTTCGTATACAGGTAAGCTATATTTTTATAATATTATAGGACACTCGCGGACGCCCGCCGAACATGTCGGGCTCGTTTATCGATTAATTTCATTACAAAAACAAACCCGCGTTTGTAATATTGTTCCGTCGAATACAAAACGAATGCGATTATTTCGTTTTCCGCACAAACTATTCGGTTTTCTGCCTTCTCCTTCGAAAGTTTTCGACGTTATGCCGTCGAGACCTATCGTCGCAAAACACAAACCCCCGTCCGTTTCTCAGCTCTGCCTCTGCAGCCTTGACGGACGATAGTTACTTCATTCGAATTTTCTATTTTTTTTTAATATTACGAATACAAAAATTCATTTTTTTCTTTTCTTTCATTAATATTCATAATAGATATATTTTGGTATTGCATTACAATGAAATTGGTTCAATACTTTAAGTGGTAAACAAAATATTATAAAATACTGTTGTTTCCGGTTTTTTTTTTCAATTTCCGCGTTCATAAGGCAAGACGGGGCCTTGTACTTCAAAATTTCAAATACAATTTTGTTTCGAGTACTTTTTGATGTTTGATTTTATCGTGCTCCTCCCTGATAAATTTCCCGCGGGCGTCCGTTTAGATACACGAACCCGCCGTAACGCGCGGTTACCGTGGTATAATATAACGAGCTGTTTTTTGTTTTTTTTTCTGTTTTTTCCCTTCCTTCCAGTCAGCCGTCGCATACCCAATACCGTGCCGGACTATGAGGTCGTGCAGTACGAGCTTCGCGGCTTTGGGCGCGTGCGTGTTGATGGCGGTCACGTGCCTGGCGATGCCCCAGGGCACCAAAGAAGGAGCGATATTCACGAACGAAGCCATTAGACAGGCGCAAAACACGCATCTCATACCGCAAAACGCTCAGATCCAAAAGGTCCAGGAGGGCGTGGAGCTGGTCGCGTACGAGTCGATACCCGGTTCGCAGGCCATCAACCTGTTCGAGATTCTCGGCGAACACGTGCCTCCGGAGGTGGTCAGCAACCTCCAGACCCAAGTGGACCAGGTCGGAAAACAGTGAAGACGACGCGTCGAATTTTTTACTCGATTTCTCCCCCAACCCCCTCATCCCCTCCACCAATGTTTTTCGTTTCTAATTTAAGATTTCGTCGGCAAAACACGTGTCGCGCGCTACGCTAAAGTCCCGCGCGACCTCAGTCGTTTTTTTTTTCCGTCGAGTCGTATTCAACGCGTATGCCGATACGCCGCCGTCGTTATGCAATATCGTTATAGATTACACAGTTTGTTTTTTTTTTTTTTTTTTATAAACAGAGAAAGTATACTTATACACTATTGGTACCTCCTATACGCGTGTGATTTTTTTTTTCGACGAAACTGCTTTCACCCATCATTACTGCGGATTTTATATTTTTATTTTTCGATAAATATACTCGGACACGTGCATACTCGCTTTCTATAAAATACCTTCGGGAATCGTTTAATTTTTAATTTTTTTTTTTTTACACGCCTTGTCAAGGTGCGATATTATATGTGTTTAGTTGTGTATTTTATTATTATCTAACTAAAAATGTCGTATATTTTTACGACCTGAACATAAATACAAACATATTAAAGCTATATACGCGCGAAGAATAAATTTGTGTGCACAATATATGATCATGTGTTATTTTCTTACACGTACCTACTATACTTATTTACGATTTGATTTATTCCGATATTCCTTGTCAAGAGATATACACAGTACATAAATAAATATTTGCGGAATAATAATAACTAATGCGTGGTAGTTACGAGGGTTTTATGAAAGATTTTAAAGAAAAAAAAAATGAAGATATTTTTGTTGTACGAGTGCGTGTAATGCAGTGTTCGGAATGTTCACTGAAATAATGAACGCGTTCACGTTCACGTTCGTTGAAAAATTAACGCGTTACCAGAAAATCCCCAGACATTAAAAATTATTATTATGGGCCTTATCTTCTAAGCCAGTGTTCCGGAGTGATAATAATTAAAAAAAAAAAAAAAAAAAAATGCTTAATTTATATAGCATATTGTTATTATATATTTATATTTGAAGTTTTGATACGGAGTTTTCGCGGAGGAGGGAATACAGAGATTAAATAAAAATAGATAAATTATATCACGTTCACAACACTCATTCACGCAGCGTACATTTTATAGTTCTTTCTTTTACATCCTTTATTATCCTTTATAGTACAAAAAGGAACCGCTAAAATCGTCGCAGTTCTTGTATTCTCCCCATTCTCAACGCCTGTCCTGTCAGGGCCAGTCAATACTAGCTCAGTTTGTGATTGTAATTCAATATTATTACGTATCATAGATAATATTAATATGATTTTTTTTTTTTTTGATCAAATGAACGTTGAATGAATAAAAAAAAAAGTCATCCACGTTTGTGTAATAATTTAACGCACTCAAATGTCCTTAAATTTTGAACGCGTTCATGGCTCGTTTACGTAAAATTGAACAAGTTCATTCCGAACATTGGTATAATGTAACTTGAACTTGAATATTTAGAGTGACCGTAAGATGTTTTCGAGTTGTTGAACTTGTAGCGCATAGACGGTAATCGAGGGGGGGGAGGTTGGTGGTGGTGGAGGGGTTAGAGAAAATAACCCACACAAATTACCAAAAACCACCTCCCTTTCAATTTGTATTTATAAAATAAGAATAAGCCAATGTTAATATAATTATAGGACTCTCTTCCAAAAGGTATCGAATTTCCGTCTATACAGCCCGGACAACAACAATAATAATTATTATAACTGCGCGGATTGGAAATAATCTTGCGCCATGCTAGAAGTCTAAGAAAATATGAAAAAAAAAAAAATATTGGATTTTTTTGTTATATTTGAAATCAAATAATATTGTGTACGTATACTATTTTTCGTGTTATTGAACTTGAAAACGATAATTTTTAAGCTACTGCATGCAGTCGACGCGCACGTAGGCGTAAGTATACGTAATCTTTTGTTTGTGTTACCTGTGTCGGAGAAAGCAAAATCGCAGCGACTATATATGTGATCGGTAAGTTAATGATGCAGTTGTGTTTGTAAACAAAATAACAGCTTATACAGCTTGAGTTTATAAGTGGGAAATATTCCGCAAAAACATCACGACTTTGTAAGCTTTCACTCGAGCGTCCGTGACTTGTGCGAGTGCGCGTACAAAGTGTTTACCGTCACCGTGGTGTACCGTCGGTGTCTAAACATATTATGTTTCTACGGTCGTATAATCCGAACGATTTTTTTTTTTTTTATTAGTCCGCGTCAAGAAACTCTCGTCAAATTTGTTTTGTGAAAATTGGTATATTTTAGGTATTTTCAGGTATATTTTATCTCAATATGTTCGGCAACCCTCAAATAGAGTATAGAAATTCAATGTTAATTCTGTTTGGCAATTCGGAAGGCTCCGTTTCGGTTTTATTTTCGTTGCGATTCGGCATTTCGATCACAGATATTAAAGAACCACGGAAGAAAACCCGATATTTTCTTCACCGAACGAAATACGATCATTTTTCAAATGTAGATTAATAACTATTACACGTGCCGAGGCGAATTAGGGATATAGATCAAAGCTTCCCGAAGACTATAATATTATAAACGATGGTTTTGTACGCGATTTGATGAATAAGTGTAATTTTTTCTGCACCGATAGATTATTATCAAACAAACAGTTACAAAAAATATCTTCACGCAACCCAACTAACAATATTATTTTAATTATCACAATAACGGGCGCGACTATAATAAAATATGCATTTGTTATTTATTAGTGTTACGGCTTCACGATTCGCTGCCGATCGTTTTTCCACTTACCGATCCTTTTATAATACTTAATTCAATTATTATCATCCTTTCGACAACATCGATAACACAATGATTACCTGTGAATTTAAATAATTGACATGCCATTTGAAGCAATCCAATATTGCGATAAAATACATAACCTAAGGTATAAGCAGATAGGGCGATGCCAGAATTATTGTCAAAATATCGTATTCCACGATCTCAATTAGTTTCGTCTTTCACGCTTACCCCATTTCTGTGATTAAATTTTGCATATATTCACATTTTGATTTTTGGAATTTGTATGCGTAGTGAAAGTCGATATTTTCGAATTCTTAGAATTTTCACAACATTTAAGGGGTATTCTTTGGCGATACCAACTATAAGTAATGAAAATTGAAAATCGAATGATCTTTCTGAAGATTTTGGTTTAATCGAAATTTGAACGTGAAGCATCTGAGTTGTTTTACTTTAAGAATCAAGATACTAGGGATAACAGTCTAAAAAGCATAATTTGTGTAGCGGCACGGCAAGCGTCGTTGTCATAATGCTCCACTACTCTCCCCTTACTCATACTTAAAAGTGGGATATTTAGTCAACCAGATTGATAGGAATCAAAAATGTCAACACCAAAATTCATTTAAACTAATACTCCATCTATTAATGGCATATTCAATATAGGTGTTCATTTGAAAAACCAAATTTGGTATTACTATGTGATACCGTGCTATGAAAAATCTAAGTATTCGAAAATATTAGCTTTTATTACACTTATAAAATCGAAATATAAGATTTTTAATATAATATGCTAAATTTAACCATAAAAATGGGATGAACATTATTAATGAATCACTTGATATATATTTTTATAAATTCCAACCGTTTTTGAGACGAATGTTTTTGTAGGCCATATGGCCGTGAGCACTGTTTGTTTTACTTGTAGGTAAATCCAGTATTACTGGGTGCATAATACTTCACAATTGAATATTTCAGAAATTTAAATACACCTAATAGGAACATTGAGTACTTTATGAATAGGATTAAAATCTGTGACACCATCTCCCGTTTCGTTTCTCAGCTGTCGTTAACTAGGTTAAAACGCTAGATCGCGCCACAGGTTTTATTTCTTGCTAAGATTTAAAAATTAATATAATCCTTACAATATAAGATACAATAGATAGAAACTGTACTCTAAAAACTACGGTTTCAAATGTATAGTTTTTCTAAAAAAGGGATTTATCAACTAGAAATGTATGAAAACCTATTATACCTAACTATAAATTAGGATGAACCAAAACAAATTTTTAGTGTACAGTGATTTTAACTTTTAAGTGAATAACGCAATTTGTATATATTTCAAATTTTTGTTACGGTTTAAAATATCGTTAAACAAGAAACGACACGAAGCTAAGTCATCAAAATTTAATAAGGACCAAAAGTGGTCATATTATAATCCAGTGGTGTGCAACCTTTTTAAATCCATGACTCCCAAATTTATTTATTTCGTTCAGGCGACTCTTTACCAACATTATAGATGAGTACATTATACAATATTTATGTTCGTTTATATGAAATCGTTGATTTTATGTAATTTGATAATTATTTAATAAAAATCAATTCCAAAATATAATTATAAATATAATAAAAATTAAATAGAAAATTTAAAAAAAAATTAATATAATAACATTATCAACATTTTAACGATTTTAAAATTATAAAATTATAATGATTTAATACATGACTTGTGCATAAATCTTAAATATAATTGATTGTAAGTCGGGTTTTATATTTGAGACCACTACTCTTAAACATGCTTCGACATTCAATCAGGATCGGTATTTGTTTTTGACTATCGCTAAATATGAAAATGCTGTTCCACATAAATACGTTGAAGCAAAAGGAAGTAAAATCGATACTGCTTGTTTTGGTAATTATCGATATTCAGTTTTGATTGAAATCCAAAATCCATCAAATTAATTTTCTTAAAAATCAATGTTGACAAAGTTATATTAGCCACGAAAATAGTAAAAGATTACATAAAAAAACACATATTCATTATTCAAGCGTAATCCACGCCGCGCTTGTCGCTTTGTTCTGTTTAAGTGCACCACTAATTTTCGTTTTTCCCGTAGAACTTGTTAAAATCGACTTACGAGGTTTCGCTGGGTAGCCGACGGTGTACGCAATTATTGCTCGTATTATATTATAGGACATCATGATAATTTATAAAAATACCGTTTGAAGAAAAATCACACGCGCCCGACCGCTATAATGATATTGTTTTCTCTCCGTAGACCGCGGTGAGTGGGCGGTTGTTTCCTCGCAATTAAAATGCACGAGAGCGGTTTTCGATTTGTACACCGTCGACCGCTTTGACGATAACGTTTTGCTTCTTTCAAATGTATAAAACGAATAGCAGTAATCGGGTACACCGATAAATTCGGTGTACGCGAACCTATTCGTGTTTATACGGTATCATATAATGGCGTGCAAGTGTTAAAACGATGAAATCGCATTTAAAATTGTAAAAAGTTTGGTGGTCGGCGCACTATAGTGCACGCGGTCAAGTTCAAAACCGTTTCTGTTTACGACTTGTTTATGATTCGAATGATATAACACCTGTTGTGTTTATTTTCGGTCTACCTAGTGCCCGAGTACACAATACCCAGTGTCGGATAATATATAAGAAACGTATCGGCAGTTTGCGCGTCCCTGAGATGATGAAAATGACGATCGCCCCCCCCCCTCCCACATCTACAATTCTTTATAGATTTGATTTCAAAAATCGCGTAAAATTGACCGTAAATTAGTATAAATTTAGATTTATTAAGACTGATTTGTCATATAAAATACAAA